TTTTGGCTCCTTTGTCAAAAATCAGTTGACTGTGTGGTTTTATTTCTGGGACTTCTGTTTTTCTGCCAGTAACATGATGTTTTTGTTCCTGTGACTCCATGGTATAATTTGAAGTGCAATATTGTTTTGTGATACTTGCAGTGGTTTTTGTTTTTTGTTTTTTGGTGGACTGGGGTTTGAACTCAAGGCTTTACATTTGCAAAGCAGGTACTCTGCCACTTGAGCCACACCGCCAGTCGGTTTTGCTTTGGTTATTTTGAACTCATAGCTTTTTTTTTTTTTTGGTAGGACTGGGGTTTGAACTCCAGGCTTTGCACTTGCAAAGCAAGCACTGTAGCTTTTGAGATACACCGCAGTCTGTTTTGCTTGGTTGTTTTGAAGATGGGGATCTCAAGAACTATTTGCCCAAGCAAATAGATCGATCCTCTCGATCTCAGCCTCCCAAGTAGCTGGTTTACAGGCATGGGCCACTGGCATCTGACTTAAAAAATTCTTAAGAATGCAAGAGATTATGTAGTCCAGAAATAAAAGGACTGGTTGCCTTTAATAGGACTGGGGACACTTCCTTCATGCTTTCTGGGAACATAGTAACAGATATGGGTAAATTGGTAGATTTTTAGTATGTGGGATAATCAAATTTGTCTGCTTCTTTTTTTTTTTAAGTGAAATATGAGATAAAGTCAGTTGGAAAGTGAGGGGTGGATAAGAAGACCTTGGAGATTTTTTTTTTCTTTTGTGGGACTGGGGTTACAACTTAGGGTTTCATGCTTGCAAAAGCAGGTGTCCTACCATTTGAGCCACACCACCAGTTGTGACAGAGATTTGAGGGGACAGGAAGAGTGAAATAGTTGTTCTGGAGAGTGAGAAGATGACCATATTAAGAAGTGTTTTATAATTGTTGGCAGTACTGAGTGCTTGCTTGAGATTTATGTTAATGATTTAAAATGAAATCAGAGAAGGTGGGCCTGGTGGTACACTCTTGTAATCCCAGCTATGAGGATGCTGAGGCTAGAGGATCACAAGTTTGAGGACAGGTTGGGCAACTTAGCAAGACCTTGTCTCAAAATAAAATAAAAAAGGACTGGGGTGGGTTGGAGGCATGGCTCAAGTGGTGTAGAGCACCTGCCTAGCAAGCAGTGGTCCTTAGTTCAAACCCCAGTTTGAACAGGAGAGTAGAGGATGGGAGGGGTGGAGTGGAGATGGTGGCTCAAGTGGTAGAGCACTTGCCTAGCAGTCACAAAGCCCTGAATTCAAATGCCAGTATTATCAAACAAAAGAAAACAAAGCATCTCCCAAAACTGTGGAACCAGAGAGTTGCTTTTCTCTACCAGTAGTTAAGAGGTAGAGGCAGTGGGTAACTGGGTTTAAACTGAGTTCAGTTTTTGCTGGGTAAGTATCTCAGGGAAGGAGTGGGACTATATTAGTGTTAGGAAGCTGAGTAAGGAAGGAAGTGAGGACATGGATGGTAGTTCTGAGGATTGGTATTGGTTTACCACCTCTAGGGTATCAGCTTCAGCTTTTGTCTTTACATTTCTTTACTCATGATACAAATTTTTTTTTTTTATTCAGAATTGGGGTTTGAACTCAGGGCCTACACCTTGAGCCACTCCACCAGCCCTTTTTTTGTGAAGGGTTTTTTTTTTTTTTTTCCTTCGAGATAGGGACTTGAGAACTATTTGTCCAGGCTGTCTTTGAACCACAATCCTTCTGTCCTCCTGATCTCTGCCTCCTGAATAGCTGGAATTATAGGCATGAGGCACTGGCACCCAGCTTCAAATTCTTGATAGAGAGTGTCAAGTATAAAATAACAACTCTGCTTTAAAGGAAATAAGAATATTTTTCTTATTCTGACCCAAATATGAGTGGCCATGGCCTGTGAACACAGATTCAAGCTACCAGTGGAAGAGGTTACACAACTTTTCAGAGTCACAGAACAAAAGAAAGTCGTAAATCAATACATTTGGTAATTATATTGGTGAAAGTATCAGATAGGTGTGCTACAGCAGAGTGGGCAAATCTGTCTGTAGGTTTTAGATATTATAGCATCTTTAGTTTAGGGTTGGTGGAGGCTAGAGCTCTGTTTAGTTTAGTAGTACTTTCTGAGAAGTTTATATATTAGTCCCAAGAACATTAGGTCAGATACAAGTTCAGGTAATAGGCTATGAAAAGGTTAGAGATAGCCCAAGATAATTTCCTTTCTTTCTTTTTTCAAAGAAGTAATGTTTTTCTTTGAATGAAGTTACATTGGTTAGATTGCCCCAACCATCTCTCCTCCCTCTCACCTTTGCAAGCCCCTTCCCACTCCACTTAAAGCAATTGCAAAAGGTTTCATTGTTCTATTTTGGTCCATCAAACCATATTCCCTCACCTTCATCTCCTCCATTCACCATCCTTCCTCCCACAAGTACCCCCCCACTGTATCAGTTTCACAGTTCTGTCTTTCATTGTTAATTCCAAAAGGAGTTTCTTAATGCATCCTCAACGTGAGGATAATTTATTTTTTGGACCTATAACTCTCCACAATCATGACCTTGTCAGCCATGTCAAGCAGTCTGATTGACATGTAATCCAAACTGGTCTTGAACTTGAGATCCCAGCCTTCTGAGTGCTGGGATTATAGCTGTGTACTACTATGCCCAACAGAATCTTTAAAAAAATTTTATTTTTAGTTTTGGATCAGCATACATTAAGGAGATGAGGGGATTTTGTTGTGATAATTCCATACATGTGTACAGTATAGCTTGAACATGCTTATTCCTTCCATTATATTTCCTTTTTTCCTGTTCTTTCTTACCTCCTTTTTCAGACAGTGTTTGGTGGGCTTCATTATGCTGTATTTACATGTATATATATATGTAACATACTTTGATCCTCTTGCCCCTGTATCTTTTCCTCTTCTCCCCACCCCCTGCTGATCATCCCCCAGACGAACCCCCGTATCATTTCTGTCTTCTCCTCCTCCTCCTTCATCTTCTTCATCTTCATCATTCTAGGTGTAGATTCCAGCAATGAGAGAACATACGCTATTTGGCCTTCAAGATAAGCTTGGCTTATCTTGCCCAGCATGATGACCTCCAGTTCCATTTGGTTTCCTGCAAATGACATGATTTCATTTTCTTTATGTCCAGCAGGATCTATAATATCGATGCCCCTTCTTCAGAGAGCTTCAGTTTATAAAAAAAAGTCAGTCAAAACCTCTCTCTTGAACCAGGGGAAGAAAAGGAAGGCATTATTAATTAGGAGAATTTGCCTAACTGAAAAATTTGGTACTTAGGATCTGAAGGTTGCCTTTAAAAAAAAAATCCTGCTATTCCCTAGTTCCCATATTCTGTAAAGGAGATGGTACTTGCCTAGCTGTGTGATGTCATATGGTATTTGTGAAACTGGTGAGTAGTTCAGTTAAGTTAAAAATGATGATAATTAATCTATTCATGATTACAACTGCCAGTAAGGGTGTTTCTTTGTGAAACCATATGTGAAGTTTACTTATTGGACAACAAGTGTATGTATGTATTAAACCAGACAGGAGGTGCTTTGCAAACTTTGGAGAGTTGCTCTAGTTTCTTATAGTTTATTGGCTTGCTGCAAATCATTGCCTTGAGTTTTTGAGTTGGAGAGCAAGTATGAAGGGATTATTGTCATAGCTAGATTTACTGCTAGTGGTAGTTGTTCTATATCAATTCCTGACACTGAGGTTACAGGCTGCCAGCAGAAAGGTTAGCCATAACAAAGAGTGGAAGACTATGGAAAACTATAGTGCGGCCAGGCAAAGAAGTGTAGCATTAAAGATGTGCGTGCTTGAAGTAGTATTGTTTTCACGTTTTTAAGTTGTTAGGTAAATACTTGTGTAGACACTGTCAAAGAACTGTTTTGTTGCACTAATTAGATTAATACAGGATGAATATGCCACATATTCAAAATGCTTGGGACCAGAAGTATTTCAGATTTCAGATTCTTTGATTTTGGAATATTTACATATATTTAAGAAGATGTTCTGGGAGTGAGACCCAAATCTAAACACAGAATTTACTTATGTTTCATGGATGCCTGATACACATAGCTTGAAGATCTTTTTTAGTGCTCCTGCATTTTTTATTTTGTGGAGCAGAGGATAGAACCTAGGGCCTGGAGTATGCTAGGCAAGCCCTCTATTACTGAGTTATTCCCCTAGTACATGCACCTGCATTTTGACTGCCGCTTATCATATGGGGTCAGGTATGGATTTTTCCACTTATGATGTCACATGAATGCTCAAAAAATTGCAGAATTTGGAACATTTCGGATTTCAAATTTTCGAATTAGGGATGCTCAACCCATAGTGACAAGGGATAGTGACTGGAGCTGGATGAAGGCAAACTAATATCTCTGGTTTTGCTACTCATTTTATAGAATTGTTTTATATAATATTTGGTACGGTGGGATTGGCATAATGCAAAAGAACAGGCTTTTACAGATAGGCACATCGTCAGTTTAACCATTAGTAATGGTTTTATAATAGAGTTCTATTTTTTTCTTTTTTTTTTTCAGTACTGGACTTTGAACTCAGGGTTTCAGCCTTGCTAGGCAAATGCTCTACCACTTGAGCCATGCCTGCAGTCCATTTTTTTTTTGTTGTTAGTTTGTTTTTCAGATAGTGCTTTTGCCTGTGGTCTGTCTTATATCAAGCAAGATCTTCCTGCCTCCACCTCTCCAATAGCTTGAATTACAGATGTGCACCACCAGGTGTGACCTGTGTGGTTTTTTTGATACCTATAATCTTGCTTCTTGACAGAGGGCATTTATCCTGCTGTCTAACTCAGAATGATGTTAAGAATGTCATTAAAACAGCCACGTGTGGTGGCTCACATCTGTAATTGCAGCATTATGGAGGCAGGAGGATTGCAAGTTGGAGACCAGCCTGGGCTACATAGTGAAACCCTGTCTCCACACCTGTGCCCCCTGACACTCCCCGGGAAAAAAAGAAGGTTATTAATAGTGAATTTATTTCCTCTTTTTTTAAGGAGCAGCCACCATATCCTGGCTACAATTCTAACTACTGGAATTCTCCACGACCTCGGGCTCCATACCCAAATACATATCCTGTGAGATCAGAGTTGCAAGGACAGGTATGATTAAAAACTGATAGGGTTTCTGGAGTTTTTCTTATTTTTGGGTGGGACTGGGGTTTGAACTCAGGGTGAGAACTCAGGCAAAGCAGGCACTCACTCGCTCGAGCCACACCTCTAGTCTATTTTATACTGGTTATTTTGGAGATGGGGGTCTCTTGAACTTTTTCCCCAGGCTGGCCTGAAATGTTGCTTCTCCTGATCTCAGCCTCCTAAGTGGCTAAGATTACAGGCATGAGCTACTGGTGCCTGGCTAAAATGAATGTGTTTTTAAATATTTGACTTATGACAAATATTTAATTATAAGTATTTCAAGTATACAAAAAGATTGTAGTAAAGATATGTATGTTTTTATCTAGCACCTACTTTCTCAATTTTTAAATTATCCCCCCTCTTTTTTTTTTTGGTAAGAATGGAGTTTGAACTCAGAGCTTTGTGCTTGCAAAGCATGCTCTCCACTGCTCAAGCCATGCCGCTGTCCATTTTGCCCAGCAAGTGAAGCCCTATATGACAGTTACTTTCATTTCCTGAAGTTATATTTATTATCCTAAATGTTTTATGCTTTTACCACTTATGTATATATCCACCAACTTTCTATAGTATTATTTAACATGTATTATAGGGCTGAAGGCATGGCTCAAGCAGTAGAGTCCCTGCTTAAAAAAAAAAAAAAGGAGCAGTAAATCTTGATATGTGGTTGGAGGTATGGCTTAATTGGTAGGGTGCTGGCTTAGCAAGACTGAGGCACTGAGTTCAAACTCCGTTACCACAGAACAACAACAAACTTGATATGAGTGGTTTCATACTAACTTCCTTCTGAAACTTGATATGAGTGGTTTCATACTAACTTCCTTCTGCTTTCTTCTTTTGCTCAGTATGTTTTTAATTTTTCTGTTGTACACACAGGAGAGAAGACTTTACCTAGGGTATGGAATTGTTGGGTTTGGGTATGTATATCTTTATTAGATAAAGCCACTTTTCAAAATGGTTGTACCAGTGAGAAAATGTTTAAACATAGTCACCCATTATTTTACTGCCCTAAGAAGACAATAATTGTGACATTTGCATATTTCTTTCTATTGTTTTTTTTCTATCTAGATAACATATTTCTTTTTCTTTTTTTGAAGTATTGGGGTTTGAATTCAGGTCCTACACCATGAACCACTCCACCAGCCCTTTTTTATAATGGGATTTTTGAAGATACAGTCTTGTAAACTGTTTGGCTGGGGTGGCTTTGAACTGCGATCCTCCTGATCTCTGTCTCCTAAGTAGCTAGGATTATAGGCATGAGCCACTGGCACCTGGCTAGATACACCATATTTCTGTATGTAAACCATTTAGTCATTTTTTACAGAATATTGATTCCAATATATGCAGTGGTTTTTGTTGTTTTGTTTTTTTGTGGTACTGGGGATTGAATTCAGGGCCTCCAAGTGTTCTAATACTTGAGCTACACACTCAGTGGCAATATATACAGTTTCAAAGCATTTAAGTAGCTTTCAAATGAATACATAGAATTTTAGAATTCTCTATAAACTGGTGTTCTCTATATTTAAAAAAAATTTTTTTTTGTTCATTTGGCAGTGCTGGGAATCAAACCCAGGGGTTACATGTGCTAGACAAGTGCTCTACCATTGAGCTACACACTCCAGCCTGCATATTAAATTTTAAGATCATAAAGTATTCCAATATGATTTTGTTGATGGTTTTCAAGTAGTCAAATCTGTGTTAAATTTTATTTAATTTACTAGTGCTGTGGAGACTGAAATAATGGAGATATATATATATATATAAAAATATATATATAGATATATAGATACATATTTTTTTTTTGGGTCAACTGGAGCTCAGGACTTTGCGCTTGCAAAGCAAGCACTTGACCACTTGAACCATACCTCCAATCCATTTTGCTCTGGTTATTTTGGAGATGAGGGTCTCAAATTATTTGCCTGGGCTGGCCACTAACTGCAGATCCTCCTGATCTCAGCCTTCCAAGTAGCTGACATTATAGGTATGAGCCACCGGCACCTGCTTGGAAATACATTTCTTTAAAGGGCTAAATAATTAATTCACTTAAAAAAAAAGCCTATTATGACTAGAAGCAAAGGTATGAACATGTAAGTCCCATCTACTCAGTATGTTGAGCTGAGGAGGAGCACCTTGAGCCTGAGTTCAAGACCAGCCTGGTCAACATAGCAAAACTCCATTAAAAAAAAAAACTCTTGTTTTCTGTTTTTTGGTTTTCCTCATGAATTTGATGCTAAAGTCTTTTAAGGTTGAGCCAGAAGAATTTTTATTAAAGTTAGAAGAAGAATTACCTAAGGAACATATAATATCAGTTGATTTTTATAATGATCATATGTGTATGAGCTTTAGGATGAGGTTGATTTGGCTGGAAAGCCAAATCAAGAAAAGGTCATGGTAGTACTTACCACAAATTTCTACTCTATTTGTATTATCTTTATTCCTGTCACTGAAATTAAGAAGTAGATATATGCTAAGTGTTACATGCTTGTGATTTGGCCACATACCATAAGATTCACCCTTTAATGCAATCAACTTAGTGGTTTTTAATTTTATTTCTTCTTGGTGGTGCTGGGCATCAAACTGAGAGGCTAAGCACACTGAGCTACATCCCCAGACGAACTCATAAAGATGTGTACATCATTACTATTCATTCTAGAGCACTTTCATCACCCCAAATAGAACCCCCTTGTTTATCACCTCCTTCCTTTTCACCTCCCTCACTGCAACCTCTAATCTACTTTGTATCTTTATGGATTTATCGTACTCTGATGTTTTGAGTGGAATAATATAACATGGCTTTTTGTTTCTGATTTCTTTGACTCGGCATAATGTTTTCAAGGCTCATCTTGTGACATGTACTTAATTCTTTTACATAACTAAATAATATTCCATCCTATGGATATATTACATATAATTTATCCATTTATCAGTTAATAGAAATTTGGGATATTTCCACTTTTTGGCTATTATGAACAATGCTATAAATATCCATGTACAGCGCTCTACCATTTGAACCACTCCAGTCTCTTAAATTTATCCATTTATCAGTTAATAGAAATTTGGGATATTTCCACTTTTTGGCTATTATGAACAATGCTATAAATATCCATGTACGGCGCTCTACCATTTGAACCACTCCAGTCTCTTGTGCAATTTTTTTTTTTTCTTTTTTTGCGTTACCAGCACTTTAACTCAGGTCCTGTAGAACTCAGGTCCTATATTTTGAGCCACTCTACCAGCTCTTTTTGTGTTAGGTATTTTCGACATAGGGTCTCTCAAAGTCTTTACCCAGGCTGGCTTCAATCCGCAATCCTCCTGATCTCTACCTCCTCAGTAGCTAGGATTATAGGTATGACCGGTGCCTGGCATAGTAGATAGATTTTGAAGTAGTATATCATTGGTTTGACTTGCACATTTCTGATGACTAGTGACGTTCATCTTTTCACATGCTTAGTAGTCATCTTGTTTAGAGAAATGTCTGTTCAGATCCTTTGCCAGTTTTATTTTTTACATTTTTATTAAGATATTTTCATTGTTCGGGGGATCATTCACTGTGACAATTCCAAACAGCTTTACATTCGTTAGATTGCCCAACCTTTGCCATTTTTAAAATTGAATTTATCTTTTTATTGTTGAATTTTAAGCATTAGATTTGTATTTAAGCATTTAGATTTGTATTCTAGATACAACTCTCTAATAAAATAGATGATTTGCAAATAGTTTCTCTCATTCTATGGGCTGTCTTTTCACTATCTGGTTTAAAGCACAAAAGTTTAAAATTTTGCTGAAGTCTAATCTATCTAGTTTATCTTCTGTTCCTCTTGGCTTTTGCAAGAAGGCTTTGACTAACCCAGCATCACAAAGATTCATTCCTATATATTTTTTGTAAGAATTTAAAAAATAGTTTGGCTCTTACATTTAGGTCCAAGATCCATTTTGAGCCGTGGTGTGAAATAGAGTCCAATATCTTTGTTTTTTTCTGTTTATTTCTCATGTTTGTAGTCACATGTCTTAGCATCATCTGTTGAAAAATGCTGTTCTTTCACATTGAGTTATCTTAGCCCCTTTGTAAGTCAATTGACTGTAAAGTAAGGTTTTTTTCCTAGATATTAGTATATCTGTCCTTGGTACCAATACCAGTACCAAATTGTTTTTAATTATTGAAGCTTTGTAGTAAATTATGAAATCAGGAAGTGTGAGGTCCCCAACTTTTTTTTTCCAAGATTATTTTGGCCATTATGGGTCCCTTGCCTTTCCATATGAATTTTTAGGATCAGCTCATGAATATGCAAAAAAGATAGCTGGGATTTGCATTGTGATTGTGTATAGATCAATTAGGGGACTAGAATAAATTATTTTTACAGTCAGTGTAGGAGATAGACAAAACTCCCTAAAAGTCATAAAGGGAGTTATACAACTTCAAGTGATGTTAGTTTTTCTGATTTCATTGATTGATCTTACTGATACTGTTTTTTCTCTTAGCACTTTTCCTCCCTTTGATGAAATAACTTATTAAATTCATGTATCACATATGCTTAAGAAAAATTCACTCAAAATTTAGTAGTGGTAAGGCTGGTGGAGTGGCTCAAGCATTAGAGCACCTGCCTAGCAAGTGTGTGAAGTCTTGACTTTAAACCCCAGTACTGAAAAAAATGAACAAACAAAAAATTGCAAGAAAATTCAGTTTTAGTAATGGCTTTTTAAAAGCCGCAGCAATGATGTGAGGGAACTTAGATACAAAATCAGTGTACGAATTGTTGGATTTCTTTATTTACTTTTTTTTGTGGTGCTGGGGATTAAACCCAGGGTCTCTTACATACTAGACAAGTGCTCCACCACTGCCCAAGAGACCCAATGGTGGGGAGCTCCAAACCATACAGAACCCTAACCACACCCACTGCCAACTTTTCTAGTCTCCAGAGAGCATGGAACAATCTTACTGCAAACATAGATTGGCAGGTCCTCAGAGGACT